TCTCTCTCTCTCTCTCTCTCTCTCTCTCTCTCTCTCTCTCTCTTAGTTACGAACCAGATACTAACCTGTGATGTTGGCGCTGTGTTGCAGGTACCTCGAAGACGAAGCTGGAGCAACGGCGCTGCAGGTAGGTACCTCTGGCCTCCGCCCAAGCTCTCTCTCTCTCTCTCTCTAGTGCTACCTAGCTATGGCGCCCAGCGCTGGAGACTACAGCTACCTACTGCACCCAGTGCTGAAGACTACTAGCTAACGCTACAACTACTACAACGCAGCGCTCCCTCCAGAGTGCTGCTCTCGAATCCTGAAGACTACTACTGCCAACTGCCTACCTCGGAAGTGCCTGGGAAGTCCTATGTACTACCTTGGCCTGCCTGCTGACTACTGGAGGCCAGTCAGGCCGAGGAGGAAGCTCTTGCCAATGTCGAAGTGTGCCAGGGGCTGGCGTGTAGCACCCTGCTTGAGGCTGGCGTGGGAAACAGACTAATAATAGTCTGTTTCCGAAACCCTGGTTCGGTGTTTGAGTTTCAGAGCCGGTCGTTCTGATGAACGATCGAAAATGACCCTTCGTTTCAGGCTAAAAAGGCTGTTGCCATTTTTAGTCTGAAACGACCAGGGATAGGCCGTGGACTTCAGGCTTTCGGGCTGAGCCGACAGGGGGCCTGTAAGCCCTGGATTTCAGGCTTTCGGCCTGAACACCGTCGGGCCTGCAAAATGGCCCGTGTGTGCATGCACTGCATGTAACACCCCACCCTCCTTATGAAGTCAAGCTGGGGCGAGGGCGAAGCCGTCGATCTGAAGGTGGAACCTGAACGCGGGCGCGGCGTGAAGCCGAAGAAACCAGCTTGCCTTGCATCTTGCGTTCGTAGCGTGCGAGAACGTCTGGAGCTGTTGCTTGCAGTTCCGCACAGGTTAACCAACGGTCAGCTCGATGTGTGCAGTAGGCAAAATGCACCAAATACTCAGTTGGCTTGTTGTCATAGCGTCGCTGGGAGATGATGTCGCCGACCTCCTGAAAACCATCCATAGAAGGTGGGTCTTGCGTACGTCTCCCGGGAAAGTCATCATGATCCGCTTGCGTGTAGAGAGCGAGTTTGGAGCAATGAAAGACTGGGTAGACAGGCAAGTGGCTAGGCACCTGAATCGTGAAGGAGGGTCCTTCAGGTGCGTCCCCAGCGGGCTTTAGGATCGGCCAAGGCCCCATCCATTTCGGGAGGAGCTTGCGAGAGACGTCTTGTTCAAGGCTGAATTCGGCTGCTGAAACCCAGACGAGGTCCCCGGCGCGGAATGGACAAGGAAGACGTTGGCGATTTGCCTGTTGGCTCATGCGCTGCTGCGTTAGCCATCTGGTCGCGTGCCTTGATAGGAAGTTCTTGCATCCGACGCAAGAAAAGAAGATGGTCATCGCTCTCGGTCATGCGTGGAGTAATCGTGTCCAACGGTGACGTAACCGGCGAGTCGTGCTTGAACTCGAAGGGTGATATCCCAATAGCCGGGTGGATGGAAGAGTTGTAGGCCAACTCAACGTCCGGCAGTCGCTCAACCCAGTCTTTCTGGTCGGGGCGGATGAGAGTGCGAAGGAGAACCTGTGCGGTCTGATGCGCCCTCTCCGTCTGGCCATCGGTTTGAGGGTGGCAAGTTGAACTTGGCTTGAGAGATGAGCCCCATCGCTTGATGAGCGCCAACCAAAAATCGGACATTAACCGAGTGTCGCGCTCGCACACGATCTCCTTGGGGTAACCCTTGGTGCGAATCCAACCGGCGTACAGAACCTCGGCCAACTCCGGTGCCTTGGCATGATAGCGACAAGGCAGAAACATGGCGAACTTGGTGAGTCGGTCGACCACCGTGAGAATCCCATCCACTCCGGTCTTGTGCTTGGGGAACGGGCCGGTGATGTCCATGGCAATCGCTTCCCTTCGCCTCAACAGGACTGGCAATGGTTGTAACTCGTCGTACGGACGATGGTTGCGGGATTTGCAGCGTCGGTAAGCCTCGCATGACTCGCAATAGCGTGTGACGTCACCGAGAAGGCCGGGCCACCAAAATCGTTAGCGAAGTCGGCCAATCGTGCGATTGACTCCAAAATGTCCAGTGCCGGGAGCGTCGTGGAACTCGCCAAGAAGCCGTGTACGCAAGTGAGGGTCACTCGGTACGCAAAGAAGGTCCTTCCCCCGCGTGTGAACAAGCAAGTACCCCTCTTGGATCCGGTAGTGAGAAGGAGCCGGATTAGGAGAGGAGCAATTCGCGTACTTGTCRCGAAACTCGGGGTCGGCTTGGTAGCCGCGGATGAAGCTGTTTCGCAGGTCGTCGTCAATCTCGAAGGTCGAGTAGACTGCGGTACAATGATCCGGATGTCGTGAGAGAGCATCCGCAAATGGTTCGACTTCCCGGGAATGTGATCGGGAAAGAAGTCGAACTGGTCGATGAAAGCCATCCATCGAGCGATGGTGTTGTTGACGGTGTCTTGGGTCTTGTAGAAGACCAACGGATTGTTGTTCGTTACCCATCGAAATTGGCTTCGACCAAGGAGGAAGTGCCGCCACCGCTTGAGTGCGTGGACGAAGGCGAGGAGCTCCTTCTTACGTGCATCATCAATGGAATGCACGAGGGGCACTTTCTTGCTGAAGTACTCGACCGGGTGCCAGTCCACACCATCATGTTGCTCGAGGACTGCACCAATGCCATAGCCTGACGCATCCGTAGTGACACGCGTAGGCGCGAGCGGGTCATAAATTCGCAAGACCTCCGCAGACAATAGCGCGGCTTTGAGAGCGAAGAATGATCCTCGCGCCTCCTCTCCGAAGTCAAACGGTCGATCCTCGCACTGAAGCTTGTTCAAGTGGGCCGCGATCTTGGAGTAGCCTTTGATGAAGCGCTGATAGTAGTCGGTAAGACCGAGGAACGAGCGGACGTCCGTGACGTTCCGAGGCTCCGACCACTCTTGGACGGCCTGAATCTTGTCCGATAGCGGACTGATGCCCTCCGGTGTGACAAAATGGACCAAGTATTCCATCTCTTGCCGAACAAATTCGCACTTGTCGCGGTTGGCCTTGTACTTGGCACGGCAGAGCGTCTCCAACACTCGTCGAAGATGTCCAAGATGATCCTCCAATGTCCGGCTATAGACGAGAATATCGTCTAAGTAGACCAGCACGAACCGGTCCAACATTGCACGGAACTCATTGGTCATCGCCGCCTGGAATGTCGCCAGGGCRTTGGTGAGGCCAAAAGGCATGACCACCCACTCAAAATACCCGTATCGCGTCTTGAACGCGGTCTTGTAGCGATCGTTCGGCTGGATCGAGATTTGATGATATCCCGATTTCAAATCCAACTTGGAAAAATACTTCGCGCCGCCCAACCGCTCGAGAAGATCGTCGATGCGAGGAAGAGGCCCCGCATTCTTGACGGCTTGCGCGTTGAGCTTGCGGTAGTCGATACATAATCGTAGATCTTTGTTCTTCTTCCTGACGAAGAGAACTGGTGCTCCATATGGGGAGCTACTCGGGAGGATCCAGCCCTTGGCCAACAAATCATCGAGTTGTGTGTGGAGTACCTCAAGCTCCTCCTCGCTCATCCGATAGATGCAACCTTTCGGCGGCACAGCACCGACCTCAAGAATTATCTCGTGAGAGATCGGCCGGCCCAACACCACACCGGTAGGTGACTCGAAGATGTCGACGAACTCGTCCAGCAACCGTACCACACGGGGGTCCGAAGACAAGTCTGTGGGTGAAGAGTCGGCTATCGCGACGATCCATAAGAAACATAGGCCGATCTCCTCGGGCTGCTCGTAAGTGCAAGTCGCCCGGAATGATTTGGCTGTCACCACTTGGCACCGGATCGAAGAGTGCGGTAGAGGAATAGTACACACCACTTCCGTGCCGAAGGCGTCGCGAACGCTAAGAGTCCGCCGATGGAAGCTGACCGTGTGATCAACACTTGCGAGCCAAGGCATTCCTAGAATGATGTCGAAGTCCGTGTCGAGAATATCGAATGTTACCGGTTCGCATGCATGAGGTGCGAAGTAGACCGTTACGGCCTCGATGTAACGGTCGAGAAGTTGTTGCGTCTTACCATCCGCCAACTTGATCGCCGTCGGGTTTGCCTTCCTCCGAACTTGTGCGCCAAGGCCAGCTCTTTGCATAAAAGACTGGCTCATGAAGTTGCGAGACGCGCCGCTATCCAGCAAAGCGCTGCAAGACGCTTGCCCAACCTGGATGCGGACATACATGAGCGGTGCATTGTTGTTATCGTACTGCTGCGTGCGAAACTCGCGGGCCACCTTGGTARYRTAYGCCAGGATGTCCCCCACCGCGACTTCGTCATCCGTCGGCGAAGTTGGTGGTGCATAGAAGGAAAGGTAAGTGTGGAGATGAGCGCTAAGTGCTGCGCATTGCGGTCCCGACAAACAGCCTGTGGTCGGGAGAGGAAGCCATGCAAAGTCCTCAGACGTGAGCGGGTCCAATGCCTCTACATTGAACTCGCACGCGAATCCCGTGACGAACCACTTGAAAACGATCTGTCGTTGTTGCCGGACGGAGAAGAAACTGCACACTCTCCTTGTCCTTGAGCTTGAGTACCCAACGTTGGAACGAGTCGGGCAGCATAGTCCTCAAAAGAAAGTAGAAGCGGAGGACTGTCGACTTCTGCGTGCGCCTCAGAATGAAGGCTGGTCACTCGCGAAGAAAACAGTTCCGAAGGCATCGAGAGTGTCATCGCGTCACTCTCGGCGGTGCTCAGTTTCCCTGTCTGCCCTTGCCTTTCAATGGGCAAACCTGCGTCTGATGAAGATCGTTGTTGCACCAAAGGCAATAGTGGAATCTCTCGCGCGCCTTGTATGCGGACTCGGAGATCCCATATGGGGTCCATGGGCCTGTCTAAGCTGCTGCACCGGGCCCGAGGCTAGAAACGGTGTGTGTCTTCGGCTTGCCCCACCCTCGGCCTCTGCCGGCGCGGCCACCTTCCCGGGCGGCTGCAAATCTGTCTCCTTCACTGGCAGACGCAGCCTCGCTGGTTTGGTCTAACGGCGCTACCGCTGCGACCACGGCCACTCTTGGCCGATGCTGGTCCCTGCTCGGGCCTGACGCAGATGAACGGAGGTTCTTGGCCTCCTTGTTCGTGACAATGATCTGCGCAGCCTTGTCAAATAATTCCGCCGTCGTCATCAAGGTGTCCTCGACGTGCGTCAGGGCATTGCTCAATGTCGGACATGACCTTGAGATGAAGTAGTGGCAGATGGCCTTGAAGCTCATCTGGATGTCTGGGACTGACGTCAAGCGTTGGTACTCGGCGATCCAGTCCGTACTCGGCAGCGTGCCTTGCTCGAAGACCATGAGTTTGTCCATGGCTTTGATCTCTTGCGGCTCCACCTGGAACCGCTTGTGCCACGCCGCCTTCAAATCATCCCAGGTGATCTTGGTGTGCAAGTCATTAGCTACCACTCCGTACTTGGACAACAATTTGTCCAACCAAGCCTGACACGCGCCCCCTGAGCGAGAGTACAAGTAGGCATGATGCTTGTGTTCCTTGACGTTGTGGAGCTGGAGCGTGAGCTCGAACTTGCGAAACCATGGAATTGGATCTGTCTTGATTGAGTCGTGGAAGATYTCCTGCCCATCRAACTTAGRAGCTGTCTCGCGCGGCTCCGGACTCGAGGTGGTGGCGGTAGTGCAGACCCGCTGCTGCAACTGTTGCGTCGCGGTCTGCTGTAACTGTGCGCCATCCTGGAGGGAGCCAACGTGCATCTCCAATGCGGTGAGGCGGTCGGCAGTATTGGAAGAGCCTGCGTCGGCGGCGGCGACTGGTCGTTGCTCCAACCGTTAAAAACGGTCTTGGAGGTGAGCTAGCGATCTGTCGAGACCAAGGATCTCTGCCTGCTGTGTAATGCAGGTTGCCAGGAGATCAGTGAGATGCGAGAGGAGGAGCGTTATCTTGTTTGCGCTATCTTCCAACTGGTTATTATCGGCCTCTGTTCGCCATTTTGCCGCCATGGTAAGTAATTCCCGCTCTCCGGTAAATATCTTCTCACGACGTTGTGTTCTCTCTTCATCGGCAGCCCTTGCTGCTGCCTCGTCATGTTGGCATTGTTGTTCAACCGCCAGCAGACGTGCCTGCTCGGCATCCTCTGCCCTTTTCTTTGCTGTTGCGGCAGCGTCATCTGCCCGCTTCTTTGTCTCGGTACTCTCGGCCGACATGCGGGCCTGATAGGCCTCGTCTGTTTCCCCGGCCTTCTGGTCCATGACTGCTATTTGTGAACGCAACAGCATAGACCAGACCGGTGTCTGCTGATGTGGTATCCCTTGCTGCTGACGTGGCAATGCTGACGTGTCCTGCTGACGTGGTCTGCTGACGTACTTACGTAGACTGCTGACGTGTTCTGCTGACGTGGTCTGCTGACGTGGCCTGCTGACGTGGTAGCAGGGCGATCTGTCGTTTCGTTGTTGCCGGGCCTTTCGCAGTTGTCGGGCCTATCGGCGATCTACGTAGTCAAACGGGGTTGAGGGGCGGGGGGTTTGTCGGTTTGGCCCGGGGGGGTTGTCGTTTCGGGCCCTTGTGAATCGGGACGGCATATCGGGGCGGGGGGGGGGTGTATTCACAGTTTCGTTTTATTCTTTCGGCCTTGCAAATACCCAGACACGACATTGGGGCGGGGGGGAAGGATAGGGGTTGGCCGTCTGTGTTTCGTTTTGTTCTTTCGGCCCGGCAAGCACCGGGACGCGACACTGGGCCGGGGGGGAAGGATGCGAGGGGTTGGCCGTTTCAGCGCGTCGTGCCCTTTCGATTGTGTGCGCGCAGCGGTTGGGTGGACCGCGGGCTGATCGGCCCCATAGCGTGCCGATAGCGTGGTGGGGCGAGAGAGAGAGAGAGAGAGAGAGAGAGAGAGAGAGAGAGAGAGAGAGAGAGAGAGAGAGAGAGAGAGAGAGAGAGAGATTGGACCGCCGAGACTGCCCCGCCAGCGAACCGGGTCTCACGGGGGACGGTCACGCGAGACCCGCTGTTTGCTTTAGAGTATTAGGGATATAAAATTGTTTTCCCTCGACTAAGTCGACTTCCCTGGAGCTTAGGGGTGGGCGTGTTTCCAACATTAATCATACTCGTATGGGGTTTGAACTACGTGATTGTAGGGTTTGAACTAGGTGATTGTAGCGGATTAAAAAAAAGGAAAAAAAGAAGGAAAAAAAAAAGAATATGCTAGGCAATCCTACTCACCCAACCCTGCAACTGTGAGCTGTGCCCTCCCCCTCTCCCTTCTTTGCCCCCCAACAAAACCTGGTGAGTACAGCCCCCATTACCACAAGCTGATGAACGGACACGCAGACTCTATTGTGAAGTACTGAAATCTAAATTAAATGGGAACTATAGCATAGTTGCTCAACTCATTTGTCACAGTACTTAGATTTAGGTGTGTGGACGAGTTACGACGTAGTTAACAGTCCATTTTTTTCATGCTAGTTAGCTTGATAGAAACAAGACCATCGTTGAGAATAAAGCACGCGGGAGGTATGTTTCAGCGCACGTAACTGCGACCATGAGGGTGAAGTGGAAGACGAAGCGGGCCATCGTGCCACCTTGCCCACCTGGGGCATTGCCACGAGGTAAATCTCGATCCCAACTAAGGTTAATAAGGGATCTCAGGACTCTGATCACATACTGCATGGGCAAAAGAGGAGCACAAGGGAGGGGGCTGCCCTTCCACAAAAAATGGCAGCATCAACCTGCTCCTATTTGGGTGCAACCGGATGCCTATAGAGCGAGATACAGGACCGCCCCCTGCGTATCACAATGGCGCCCCATCGCTGCACCTCTGCCACCCCAAGCAGGCATAACAAAACCATGCAAAGACGAAAGGACGCAATCCCAATGTCGGGCCACGTCCCCCCAATACCCGACTGATAACCCCCTGCAACCACAAGAGTCAGTGAAGAATATAAGCACATCGTACTCTCGAACATGGGCAGCAACACTTAAGGGACCGCCCCCCGAGAAGGACAGGGGAATCGGAGGTCAAGGCCAGTCCCCCGACTCCTCCTCTTCCCTCTCTTCCTTGGGATCGCTGCTGGCTTCACCTCCTCAACAGCCGATCACCAACTTGCTCGCCCTCAGCTCGATTCACCCCACCCGGAGGGCCGGAGTCATTTCATCCAGGAATTGCACGTTAAGCCGGAGAAGATGCACCAGGAAGTGGAAGGATACATACAACCGATATACAAGTTCCCCCCGCAGGCGGTGGCGACAAGGAACATAATTTACTCGATGCATGCTGTCCAATTCCACTTTCTGGAGGCCCTAGCACAGGTGGCAATGAATGACAGAATCAAATGGGTGACAACTATTATCGGTTCCTTCAAATTATCGGTCAGGGATGGGGAGGACCATTTCCTTATAGAACTGGCGGGGATTGCTACTGTCACTGTCATGGCCCTCTACCCACGGGACCACGCTACCCTACTAAATTTGAAGATGGCGTCCGATTGAACCATTCACAGCTGACGACCGCAGACAACGGATTATGGAAAGCAACTTCCGGGTCAAATTTCGTTATGCCCCTGTGGCGGTGCAAGGAACAATAATCCAAGATCTGCAAACTTTTGCTCCGGTGAAGGTGGTTGTACATGAACTGCCCTCCTTCCTCGAGAAGCGAGATGATACCCTCTTGGTGGTTGTTGAATGGAACAGTACAAAGGCCTTTACCCTGTTCGACGCCTGGAACTACACCTACGGGGAGAAGTCCGTTGCTATCCCCGTGAGCCACAATCTGGACCCGTGGTGCTATGCATGCAAGGAAAAGGGTCATCTGTGCACAGAGACATGTTGTCCGAAATCCAGGAGAAAGTCCCCTAGAGGCATTGTCATCCCTCACCCCAACCAACCTCGAACATGGCTCCCAAAGGAAGAGGCACTGACTGGTTGGACATTCGTTGTCCAAACAGAGGACATGCCGGACCGCTGGATTTGGAGAGGAAAAGGCCAACCGGAGAGGACTCCCCAGACCTCTGCTCAAGTTGTGCGTTGGCCACGAGACACATCCTCCCCGCCTGTCGTTGAAGGAGGCCCGACAAAAAAACAGCCTGCAACTTGTCCAAACTGGACAACTGGGCAGCCAACCCACTCGGCAGGTTATCCTGCGCTTGGCCAGTGGTCCCCGACCCCTCTGCACACTGTTACACGAACAAACGCTGTCCTGTTTGATGATGAGGAAGATGACGAGGGAAACCCTCCACTGATAAGAAAGCACCATCGAGAAATCAGGGGACAGGATGACACCCGCAAACATCCACCGGAGGACCAAGAGAATCAACTTTCGTCTCTCGCCTTGCAGCGATCGGCCCAGGGTCCCCAAAAGGCGGTCTCTTTGCAGAAAAAAACTGCAAAAATGAAACGTTGTCCTGTCTGATGACGAGGAAGATGACGAGGGCAACCCTCCACTGATAAGAAAGCACCGTCGAGATATCAGGGGACAGGATGACATCTGCAAACATCCACCGGAGGACCAAGAGAATCAACTTTCGTCTCTCGCCTTGCAGCGACCGGACCAAGTCCCCAAAAGGCAGTCTCTTTACAGAAAAAAACTGCAAAAATGAAACTCATGGCAAGGAAACCTGTTACAGACAAGCTCCGTGTTCACCGGAGGAGCAAGAGAATCAACTTTCGTCTCTCGCCTTGCAGCGACCGGACCAAGTCCCCAAAAGGCAGTCTCTTTACAGAAAAAAACTGCAAAAATGAAACTCATGGCAAGGAAACCTGTTACAGACAAGCTCCGTGTTCACCGGAGGAGCAAGAGAATCAACTTTCGTCTCTCGCCTTGCCGCGACCGGACGAGGGTCCCCAAAAGGCAGTCTCTTTGCAGAAAAACTGCAAAAATGAAACTCATGGCAAGGAAACCTGTTACAGACAAGCTCCCTGAACATGAATCGACCCCGGGGGAACAACTGGAGGGATCAGGTGACGGGGGGGGGAGCACGGGCCCGAGTCACGACGGGAGAAGAGATGGCGGAGGCTCTAGTGGTAGGGCTGCCGACCACTATAGGAGAGGTGATGGTGGACGAGATAGTGTTGGGGCTACCAGGCACCTCTACAGACTTGGCAAAGGGGCCAACCCCACAAACGCATTTGGAAGAGATTACCCCACCCCCACACGGGCAGGCCACTGAAACCATAGCCACATCCACAGAGCACACGACAGGAAGCGGGGGACAGGTTGGTGAAGTTGCGCCAATACCAGGGACGGTGGTACGGAGGTCAGCCACTTTAACAGTTGCAGCCGTGGGGGATGCCCCGCAATCTCAGTCAGAAGAAAATCTAAACGGAAAGAGAGGAGGAGAGGCGCAAATTCCAGAGATTGTGGTACGGCGGTCGGCTACCGGTAAAGACGCAGCAGAGGGGGAAGCCCCACGAATTCAGTCGGAAGAGACTGTACACGTAGCCTCTGGGTACGTAGTTGGAACCCGGGGCCAACCGGGGGTGAAATTGCCCATAAAAGGCCAGCAGGAACTGATAGGAGCAGGCGATGCTCCACAATGGCTTCCCCCGCTGCAACAAATAATGCAGGGGGAGCAATGCGTTATGTGGCTACAAAGACACCAGCGCGGCTATCTGAAGGATCGAACAACAACCAGTGTCCTTGGGGGGCAGCCAAACAGGGAAAGGAACGAAAGCGGGGACGCAACAAAAACGCTGGCAACGACACTCGTGGTAGCAGGTGCGGCCGGCCAGATACAGCTAGCCCCAAAAATTGGGACCCTAATGCCAACGCAGGCAAAAACTGTCAATCAACCACAACCCATCCAAACGCTGCCTAGTGTGTCCGGTGGCCGCCCCCCAAAGACGCTCTCGCTAACAAAACGCCTTCCCGGGCTCCAGCGGGGTCAACTCAGAGGGTTGAATAAACTATTAAAGTATGAACACCTGCAAAACATTGCAAAGGGTCTGAGGGACCTCCTCCCATCCGGGCCCCCCTCCCAAGCCCCAGCTCCAACAGAAAAAATGTCGAGCGATTTTCGGTGATTTTCAACATGGGAGTTTGGTTTTGTATGTATTTGATCTGTTGATATGCCTTATAATATGAAGACCAACATTGAACAATGTTGATTGACAAAAGGTCAATCACATCTCAACATTGTTTCAACAAGATTTCAATAAGATTTCAACATGTCTCAACATATGCTAAACACTACTCGAGCTCCCTCTCTACAGAGTTAGGTACACAATGACAATTTAATGGAACGTGTCTCAATTTTCGTAGTTGGTTTACTTGGCATACATACATGAAAGTTTTTTCTGCATCGGGGGACATTTGTACAACAATCATCTTAGATGTCATGAGACATTATGGTTGTTTTGCAATATTTTGACTGTATGACCAAACGATTGTGAGTGTGATTTACATGTAATCCATGACTGTGTGACTTTTTTGATAAAGGTTTTGATATTTGACTTAAAGTTTGCGCAGCCGTGGACTGGATAAACTATTCTTTATAACTTGAAAGATTTACGGACTCATTAATTTCCGTGATATTATTTCCCTTAATGCTTAAGCAAAACAATGAAGGATATCTCTGCTTGTTCACGCTCATTCTTCATAGGTAAAATGGTCTTTGTGGTTTTTATTGTCCTGATGGTCATTAACCATTTCAACCGGTGATGGTTCGTGGATGGCCAGGACTCGTTTTTTTTTTTAAGTAGATATCGGAGGAAAAAAAACCTTCGATGTTTTTTAACACATTGTGCGGTCTGTTGCATTCTCCTAGGACGCGAGAGGAAGTCATAAATTGTGTGACGTTTGTACGCACATGAGCATTGTCTTCCAAAAGGTGACGTAGTCGTGGATTACATCCTTTCTCAAGCATGGGGAGAAACCTGATACCGTATAATTTCTTGTCCACAATGTGAGCAATGTGCTATTTTCAGTTAGAGAGTTGTAGACTCCACTTTTTGCCCTACAAGGTTGGAGGAAATCAATGACTATGTGATTTTTCCCATCTCCGTTTGCACAGTCTCAATGTATCATACAGTCTTGTACTACATCCTTTCTCCCACAAATTGAGAAAAAGTCAACGACCGTATGACTTTATGCATAGAACGTGAGCACTATGTGACAAAAGGTCGTGAACTGCACCCTTTCCCCTCCGATTTTTCTTTCTTCTTTGTCCACACTGTAAAAGTCGGCGTTGCTCACGTAAAACATAAACTTGGGTTTATGAAAACGTACAAATTGATCACTTCGAAAAACAAATGATAGAGTGTTGTTTTCTAGTGCTTTTCTTTTGAGGTGCAAGGAAGTTCACGACTATATGACTTTTTTACAATAAGTGAGTATTATATTCGATAAGGTTACACAGTCGTGGATTTATTGTCATGACCACAACGAAAGAACAACTCTCTACAGTGATGTTTGCAATGTCTCAAAGTGTCACACAGTCTTGTACTGCATCCTTTTTCCCACACATTGAAAAAAAGCCAACGACCGTATGAATTCATATATAGAATGTGAGCACTGTGTCAAAAGAGGTCACCTAGATGTGGAGTGCACCCTTTCCCCTCCGAGGTGCAAGGAAGTTCACGACTATGTGATTTTTTATAACAAGTCAATATTAAATTCGAGAAGGTTACACAATCGTGGATCCATTGTCATAACTGTAACGAAAGAACAAGTATCTACGATGATGTTTACACTGTCTGAAAGTATCACAGGGTCTTGTACTTACTAATTTCTTCCACAAATTAAGAAAAGTCAACGACTGTGTGACTTTATATATACAGGGTCAACACATTGTCATAAAAGGTCGCTCAGTCATGGATTGCACCATTTCCCCTCCGAGGTGCAAAGAAGCACAAGATTGTGTGACGTTTTTACATCTGGTGAATATTATGTTTGAGAAGGTCACACTGTCGTTGGCTGATTGTCAACAACTTTGTGCGACTATGTGACTTTTAAAGAACGTATCGTTCTCATTTTTCAATAGGCTATGTACTCATTAACTGTGCCCGATGTTGTATAGAATAGTGGGAAGTCCACAAAATTAAAATTTCCCTTATGCAACGTGACCATTATGTTTTCAAAGGTCACATGGTCACGAACTGCAGCCTCTCTCCGACAAGGTGGAAAATAAAAATACAAAAGTGTGTGACGTTTTGTATGCAACGTGATCATTACGTTGCATATCGACACGCAGTCGTTGACTCTACCATCGAGAGAACAACTTTGTGCGACTATGTGACTTTTACAAAACATATCATTCTAATTTTTCAATGGGCTATGTAGTCATTCACTGCCCCCGATGTGCCATAAAATGGTAGGAAGTCCATAAAATTGCAGTTTTCTTTATACAATGTGAGCATTATGTTTCCAAAGGTTATATGGTCAAGGACTGCATGCTCTCTCCAAGAAGGTGGAAAAAATAAAAATAAAAATGTGTGGCATTTTGTATGCAACGTGATCACTTCGTTGCATATCGGCACACAGTCGTTGACTCTATCTTGTTCTCATCCCTATAGGAGAAAGTTCACGACTATGTCACATGAAACTATACAATTTGAACTGTGTATTCGTGGTTATGCACTCTGTATCTCTCTTGTGATTTTTATGGTATAATGTCAAGGATAAGTGAAGACTGTGTTATGTTTAAGTGAAGTATCGTAGGGGGTCGGTCCAAACCCGCACAATTTTTTTACGATGGAGGGCTTATATGTTGTCATTGTTTGAATAATCATTGATCAACCTAGTTAAGAGATAGTTTATGTATGATTAGCTTGGTTCCATTTTTTGTAATTCTAATTTACATTTTTTTTCCATACACATTTCTTCTGCATTTCTTGTAACACTATGAAGTATTAATCGTTTTTCTTTTTAAATATATGTTCTCACTCACGACCTACTTTTTTTTTTCAGAACCTTCATAGCTCGGGGCGTATTGAAAATATCTCGGGTCCAAACGACACCAGGGTATTTTTCGGAAACTTCAATCGTTGTCCGAGGGGCACGACATGGTTAGAGGGGCACGCCATAAATAAATCAAACTTTATGGGCCATATCAAAAAAATAATCCTTTTTTTTTTTGGCTAGTGGTATCATGAGTACTCCCTGACAAAGGTACTGGCAGGAAGAAAAAGAATTAGCCACCACTACCTTTCACATGCAAACTCTGTCTCAAAAGTAGCCTACTGCGAAGAAGTCGGGGGCTCGGTGCAGGGTTGGATGCCGAAAAAAAAAACATGTAAAAAAAAAAAAAAAAACTACGAATGAGGAACCCAACTGTTAGAGTATCCTCCCACATAGGTCATGATGGCACAAGCACGGTTGAACCCATACCCCACTCCAAGTGGGGTATGTATTTCAACGGAAGATGGGCAGGGTAGGGGGCGTTGTATTCGGGCGGAGGGATTTTTCAGCTCTTCCCGGGGCGGGCCGCCAGGCTGGTAGCCTAGGTGCGCAGTGAAATTCAGGTTAGGCAAAAACAGGGTCGGAGGTACAGTGGAGGTGGTAAAGCAAAAAAAAAAAGGAAAATTTGTCTGGTGCCCCTGTAATTTGCGTTGTTTCCTGTCGCGCCCCTTCGACGGCCGATTTACCCTGTCGTGCCCCTGGGCCAAAAAATATTTTCTGCAGGCCCTTGTCGGTAGCGACCACAACTTTCCTACTTGATTCCTTGGACTGACGGTCAGGCCCTGTGCCATATGCCCTCATGACGGGCAGCCATCTTTCTGCAATGCCTCCGCAGAAGTGAGGCACCACAAATTTGCATTTTCGTCGGGCCCTGTGCCATACCGTCCACTTCCCTGCAAGTGTGTGTGTGTGTGTGTGTGTGTGTGTGTGTGTGTGAGAGAGAGAGAGAGAGAGAGAGAGAGAGAGAGAGAGAGAGCTGGAACGTTGTACAGTCCACCAACCGGCCATAGGCGCGCAGCACCATCACAACACCCCTCTCCTCCTTCATCATCTTCTTCCATAGATCGTAACCTTCGGATGAGACGAGATACTGACTTGCAAGAGGTAACGCCTGCCCCCTGATTTTCATCCCAGACTTCTTCTTTCCCGCCTTTGCATTCATCGAGGTCGCTGTTGCCCTTGTCGTTGACTCAGACTGTCCACCACTAACATCCTTTCGTTTGTCGGAAGAGGGAGCCGCCCCTGCATCTGGGAAAGCAGTAGAAGATGTGGCAGTTGTGGACGACTTGGCAGCAGATGCGGTGACAGCGGCTGATGAGGCAGCAGATGATGACATAGCAGCAAATGGATTGGCAGCAGATGACGTGGCAGCTGACGACGTAGCAGCAAAATTTAATGGCGTAGTAGCAAATGGCTTGGTAGCAAATGGACTGCCAGCAGATGAAGTAGCAGAAGATGACGTCGCAGCAGATGACATAGCAGCAAAATGGCTTGGCAGCAAATGGTACCGGTAAGGGCATCTCAAAAATTTTCCTGCTGGCTTTTAACGGCCGTCCGGTAGGGGCATCCCGCAAATTTGGGACCGGTACGGGGAGGTGCGTAACGAAAAGATTTGAGGCCCAAACGACACCGGGGTCTTATGGAAAATTGGAACCCTGATCAGAGGGGCGCGATAGGGTAAATCGGTCGTTGGAGGGGCGCGACGCGAAATAACGCAAATTACAGGGGCGCCAGACAAATTTTTCCAAAAAAAAAAAACGGCCCTCCGGCTGGCCAACCCCCCCTGGCACTTCGGAACCCATCCCCCGCCATCGGTTGCCGTTAGATGCAGCGGCCCATTCGGAACGCCCATGGCCGCTGTGTCGCACGTCGCCCCTACGCCCGCCATCGCCCGTTGCCAGCTGGAGCCCGTCAACGGTGAGTTAGTGTGTTTTGTGTGTGTGTGTGTGTGTGTGTGTGTGTGTGAGAGAGAGAGAGAGAGAGAGAGAGAGAGAGAGAGAGAGAGACAGTAGTTGCCTCTATCCTCCTCTTCCTCCACACCCCTTCTCCTCCGCCCTCCCATTCCTCATCGCGATCCCATTGTCGTTGACTCAG